AAGTAATGTACAAAAATTGACAAACATGTACACTGTATCGTGTTTACTTATTTTCTCTTCTCCACTTGTATCCATTTTGAGATGAATTACTATAAGACGAAAATTAAAATTTCTTACAGATGTATTTTTAAAGATGAAATTAATGATAAATTTGAAGGTATGTAACGATTCTTATTCTGTAAACTTTTTTTAATTCACTAATGTTTTACTTTAATTTGATATTTCTTACTCTGTTTAAAAGACGCAAATGTTTTATTCAGACTCCAGCCAAATAATTGTAATTTATCAGTTATACAGGTTATAAGAATTTTATTTGATGATTTATGGTCGATCGGTAAGAATGAGGGTGGGAAAGGGGGGAGTAGTCTATTTCAGTATTTTTGCTTTTCATGTCACATGACATCAGTGGTCTCTATGGAATATTTTAAAAACCCCCGCCCTGACAAAAAGGATAATATGACACTGTGTACTCTTTGTTTCTAAAGTACTAATTTTGGCACCCCTACCCTTCCTCAAAGGAGGATAATTCTGACAGTTGTGGGTCGAATTTTCTTTCTTTTTACATTTTATTTATTATCGTTTCCCTTCAACCAAACTCAGCACTTTATGCCTCCAATCTTAAAAATAGCCTCCTACATCCCTGAGAAAAAATTGTTTGTAAGTCAAAATAAATGGATTGCTAAATGAAATTCGACGTACTACATGATTGTATAGCGTCATATAGGAATCGGATTCTCTGTCCCCGATGAAATCCTGACATTTCCAGCAAGTGTTATAGTCTTGATAATTGTGATGTAATATTTTCATTCATTCATTTTTCTTTCAAAGCTGTGACATTAAAGATAAAAAAAAAGATATTCACGTGCTCAATTATGCTTTTCACTTACACCAACAATAAAACCACCTTCGGCAGAACGATACAGCGTGGTTCCGCCATCCTGTTTAAAAATTGATTTAACTTTCATATGAAATAAAACTGAAACAATGCTTTCACAATATATGGATAAAAAATATATGCACAGAAACAAAAAAATTATAATTGTAAGCTCTGATTACTTATTTTCTTTGCTTCCGGATATGTCTCGAACGATAACTTTCAAATATGGAGATGTCATGTTTGATTTTATAGTGCGTTGTGTATTTTTCGGTTAATTTTAGAAATAGAAAGAATATACAATGACGTTAACACATTGGCCATGATAGGTTTTGAATCTTAACCACAATTGACATTTAAGAAATAAACAACAATGTTAAAAAGTTCTCTGGGAAATGAACTTGGTTGGTCACGTGATCAAATCCTGTGAAGCCCGAAGGGCTTCTCAGAAGATTTGATCACGTACCAACCAAGTTCATTTCCCAGTGAATTTTTTAATATTGTTGTTTATTACTTTTATTTACATTTGAGACGAAAATTCTGAAAAGAACTGCATTCATTACACGAACGGCCCGCCGTATTGCTATGTTGTGACGCGCAATGACCTAGAAGCTGTTTGGTCGTGAGAGTTCGCCTCGCTCCAACATTTGAATACTTACATTTATGTTCAGCAGTCCAGTTCAGGAAATATCTGTTCATAATGAAAGAACTATGATCGCTACTGAGAAAAATCTTACTTTTATTGTATGAGTTCTTAAAATATGAAGTCAAAAGCGGTGGTATCGTCTTCAGTTTCTTTCGGGTTATAAAGGTAAGCGTGATTTTAGGCTAATCTACACATTCTTCACACCGAAGAAAGAGCTAATGATCATTTGTTGAACGAAAAAAAAAAACATATATGTTTCAATAATTTTATCTTTTTCATCGCTTTAACGGCTTAGCAGTTCCGAAACCAGTGTCACCGTGACAGAAATATGTAGACAAGATATCATCTCGCTGGGTGATTCGGTCACGCCATGACCTCTGACCCCCTAATAAGTTCATACAGAATTGAACATATTTTCTCTTCAATAGGTTCATCTAAGAAAAATATTTGCAAATGTAAATAAGTAAAATTATTAGTGTAAAGGTTGCGCTTTTTACACGTTGAACACAACGCGGGAGGAAATATATAGTTAAACAGAGCACGGAGTGAAAAAAGCATTGTTTTGAAGGCATTCTAGAAGGAAAAAAGTCAAAACCTACTGTATAACAAAAGTAGTAAGGAAGGGTACAGGAGGCAAGATTATCTACAAATTCCAGTTTAGGTATCATTAACCTTCTCATCTTGATTAATATTTTAAACTATAAGACAGTTTGAAGAATTTTATCTCACATTCATCTACAAGTTGGCAATTATTGATCGTCTAGATTTACGATGTCTCTGCAAACATTGATGACCATCTTTTGATGAGCAAATTAAAACCTTACAAAAAGAATCAAAAAGATACAAAGTAAAATTTAAAGACTTGGCTGTTATAACATCATCAAATACAAAATATCTCGATCAGCACTCCATGGGAAAACACACATTGTTGAAACTGAAGAAGCATAATCTTTTCTTTTTTTTTTACCGAGATTTCAAAATCGTCTACTTGAAAAGAATAAAATGTTTAGTATCTTTATCAATAATGCAGTGTTTCCCAAGACAGTAACTTGGATCCATTAGGATACAATGCTTACAGAGTGTATAAACACCAGTACTAGGACTCTATCCTAATGATGCTACATTTTCTAATTGTTGGCCTCTTGTCACCAAGAGCTTTCGAGAGCAAGAGAAAGCATTAATATTGAATAACAAAGAAGTGTTTTTTGACTATTTTTGATTATTGTCACCCACATGTGTGTGTGAATACATGCTCTTAAATCTCTGTACGATTATACAGCTATCATTTAAATCATACAGGGATGAGATAAATCAGACTATCAGAACAAATGTTAAAAAGAAAAACAAAAAACTGTCGCCATTGTTGTGTGATCACAAAAATCTTAAAAGCAATAAAGAATGTAAAGAGTACGTAGACTGTTAGAACTGATTTCAAACACTCATGTTTGGAAGTATGAAAACACAGAGTGCCAAAACAAAGCGATTTTGTTGGATTAATTAAATTCAACTGGCATCCTTTTTCAATTTTGTAGTCGATTCAATTCTGGCCTTGGCTGATCACGAGAAATAATGTTGATATTGGCGGTTTTCCGGCACTGAATCAATCGAGGACTAATTAAAGGCAGATATTGATCAGTTCTGATACTGTGATGTAATCCTTGTGATAAAATGTGTTTCTCTTTTCTTAATTAAAGCGTATACAGTATGTTTTCATGGCGGTTACTCTGTAGACATTATAAAATCGGGATCGATTATTATTTTTACAGTTAACCTCTCTTCGATCCCGTGGTTTATTATGATTTAACTGTGGTCTTATTGATTTTGGATCTTTTGTATTTAAATATCATTTTTTCTGAGGAGTTGTATTGTTTCCTCGTCTTTCTTCCTTTCGTTGAATATTTTTGTATTTTATTGATAACACTTGTTGCTATGTATGTTTGTAAAGTCTTCTACACTCACAGATCTCGAGCAACCATAAAAAAGTCACTGATGGCCGTAAATAAACATTATTGCCCCCAGTCACCATATAAATGTATCAGAGAATTCTTTGTTCTAAAATTTAATTTCCCTTGCTACGTTTGAGGAAAAAAAAAAAAAAACTTTGTTTGATTTTAAGGGACAACATAATTCCAAAATATAAACTTAATATATATGGTGTTGAAAACTTTTAAGATAACAATTATTCTGTAACACAATTTTCAAAAAATAAGAAGAAAAAAAAAAAAAGAAAACTCCTCTTTTTCATCCATTAAGCTTGAATAACATCCTGTAGCTTCTTAACGACCGGAAATACGTCATAGAAAAAAATACATTAATTATCCTTTAAAACTTACCGTCTTTCAGCTTAGTACAGTATATGGTTAACCAGTTGTGGGTTAAAAATTCAAGTTTACAAGGGTTAAACTTTATTTTGTTAAAATTCATTTTCTGTGGAATAAAACTTTTTAAAATTGTATTCAATGTTTGTTTAATACATATGTATGCACATGCAAATACTAGCATATTCCATAGATTATGATTTTATTGTAAGTCATTCCTTCCAAAAAGTGCAGTTTTTCATTCTTAGAATAACAAATGCAAATATCTTTATATTTTTTGTCAATTTAAGTAAATTTTACCAATGAAAATGATCTAACATGCATGTAGAAGAAATTAGTGTTTGATATCGGGCAAACGTTCCCCGTCTATACGACTGTCTCCCCATGTTGTTAATCTCTGGCAGTACATTTAATGACAGTTATTGTCTTCATGTAAAATGAACTAAATAGTCACAATATTCAGAAACGTGTTTGATTTTTTTAATTGTCGCGAGTGGAGACATTTCCCATTAATATTTCCAAAACGCCAACATGTTCCTATTTGAAACATTTCCAAAATAAGGTAACTACGTAACATAACTTTTTTGGTTCACAAACATGGCTCTATCCCTTGGCTATGCCATCCACGACTCCCACGTATTGATGGAATAAATTTAAACGTTACGTACAATCAGAAAATATACTTGTCTGTGGTATATTGACATACAAGTGCATTAGATAATGTTTTGTCTCTTTTATTTAATTTCTTTATATTGCCTGCTGTCTTCTATTGCGGATTCTGAAAAAAGACTTTTAGGAGTCAGCGGAATAAAAGATAATCCTTCTTCGATGATTTACAAAATCCTGAATAAATATACTCCCTTTCTCTAGAAGAGGCAATAATAAAAATGAAACAGATCTCTCACCGAGTTCAATAAATTAGGCAGATCTTTCATCGAGTAGCTACATTGTAAATGATGCTTTTGGTGGAAAAATAAAGAATTCAATGATATGATGTACAAAGTAAGCAATACAAAATATGAAAAATTGACAGCAGATAGATTCCTTCTCTTCTTGTATAATATCCTTAATTAGGAAAACCTTCAAATTCTGACTTCGGGAACCAGTATTTAGTTTAAAAAAAATAGCATATGTAATTCTGATACAAATTGATTTAACTTACCTCAAAATAGTTTTCTTCAGTCATAATTCTCACAATAATATAGACAGAATATCCTTAATATGATCCAGTTATGGAATAAAAATCTTCACATTCTGTAGCTTTTACATCTCTCTATAAAATATTCTAATAAATTTATCTGAAATATAAAAATTATGTATCCTTTGTGAAAATTTACAAAACTGACCAACACAGAACTCAAATCCAGCAGAAATACGGCGGCTACCTTTTTAAGCTATCGAACGCACCACATCTCTGTATTAGTACTGGGTCCCAATCCGATGTCTGTTGATTTCCCTATAACCATGACAACGTACTATCTCCCATTCCATTAGCTGCCTATAAAGTGTGTGTGAAGAATTTGCAATAGGAGACAATGAACAACTGGATTAAACAAATATTTAAGAATTTCTTGATGCTCAAGGTTTCAGCGATCCGTTTTTGTTGCGGATTTCCAAATACAAGCACAGCTTTTCTCCTACAACCCAAGATTAGGTTTTCTCTTGTAACATAAACACAATTTTTCTCTTGCAACACAAACACGGGTTTTCTCTTGCAACACAAGCACAGTCTTTCTCTTGCAGTACAAGTACAGCTTTTCTCTTGCAACACAAAAACGGCTTTTATCCTACAACCCCAAATCGGGCTTTTCTCTTACTCAAAACCATATACAGAGGAATGAATCCCTGTGTTTTTTGGCTTCCGAGGTGAAATAAAACAATGTTTACAAAACAAATGTACCATTGATTGATTAATAGAAATAAATTACATACAAGAATAGATCACATTAAGCAGTGTTTAATGACTGAGATTCTGAGGTATTTGCATGATGATAAATGGAGAGGTATGTCCCCAGGGGAGCAGATTTCTGCTACTGTTCGGGGTCACCGTCTTTAGGACTAGAGCGATCGATTCCCGTATTGTCATTACTAGTTTCTAAATGTACATGAATACCATGTTTATTTGTATATAGTTAAATCGATTATATTTGAATTAATTATTTAATCTCCACACGCATAAATATATAGTGAGATTATCCCTTCATCGACAAAAGACAGGATTTATATTTTCATCATTACCTTGGAAACAGTCCATGAGTGATTAATATTTCTCCGTCACGACGGAAAGCCGAATAAATATCTAATTAACATTCTATTGATAACAGTGGAAGTTTTCTTTTGTGTACAACACAATATATATGTCTGCACATTTTCAAACAGAGTCACATCGGCGAAGGGAAAGAATAGTCCAAAAAGTCGGGATTTACAAGGGAAAAAAGCATTGATTCTATTTTTGATATAAGTATTTTTCTTTATACACGGGTACAAACATTTATATCCATTTCAATATGTTTGATCCGACACAATTTGTTGAAAATTCTTTTACATTTAATTTGATATTATAGTAGAATCATAGCTTTGAAAAGTTCAGACTAAAGTGATAAGGTTATAGATTTGTTGCTTGGTTTTCAATTTAGCAAATTTTTGCTTATCCGGGTTATTTTGTCTATGATATTACAACCATAAATAATTTCACGCAAAACTTATATTGATTCCTATGGTCAAAATCTCAAATGAGAAACATTTATGTATTCTCTATTTATTAACAAGCCAAATCATGCATTTTTTTGAAAAAAAATAATGAAATGAATCACAATCATACATATTTTGAAATTTCTATAGTCTATGCCAAAAACATTTATTTACGTTTCAGATTTGCATAGACTATGAAACAGAATTCAGACAGCATAATAATATCAAGTATTACAAAATAAAATTAATAAACTACAATAAGAATATCTGCAGAGTCAAGAGAACAAGGCTGGGGTATCTACATTGTTGTATGTGACATTTTGAATATTAGAATTGTAATTGCAAAAATGTCTCCATTTTATAGTTAGCTTCTTTCGTAAGCTACATGTATTTGAAAAACAGCGCAAGAACAAGTATATATTTATACACTTTACGCAATGCTTAATATATAAATATATATATAATATATAAAGGAATTTACTACAACATGTACAAGATCATTTTAAAGTTTTGTTTTTGTTTTTTGTTTTTTGTTTTTTTTTTTGTATATAACAACAATGGTGAACCAAAAACAACAACAATAGTGAACCAACAAGGCTTGTCCAATCCAAGTGTTAATTCTAGTAAAAAAATCTAACAATTGGCAGTTTAATCCAAAGGTTCGTCTCTTATATCTATATGGTCAATTACATAATATAAAAGTTCTCTATTGAATCCCTTTATCTCTAACTATAATTTTTACTGTAGCTCTTATTTTTTCAAACTGGTCAAATACATATATGACAATTCTCTATTGAATCCTTTTATCTCTAATTATAATTGTGACCAGTTTGATTGATAAATTATTCACATGTAAATTTTTTTTTCTCAACAATAACACAGATATTTACTTGTATGTAAGACAGAAACCAGATAATCAGATTAACCATCTCGAGCATCTTTATATGGACATGTAACCAAACTTTCTGAACTATACATTTGAAATGTAAATGATGATTAAATGCAATAAAAAGTGCGTAAGAAGAGTATTGATTTTAGAATATATTGACCTGTTAAAAAAAGTTTCTCTCCCAAACATTAAACAAAGAACTTACAAGTAAAAAAAAAAAACTATTTAAAAATAACTATAATGTAGAGTAATCATAAGATGTAATTGATTACTTTAAAAATGGCTGTAATCAGCTTGTAATCGATTACTTTTAAAACCAAAGTAATTGTAATTTAATCGATTACTTTTGAAAGTAATCGACCCCATCCCAGAATTCGATCTTCACACTCTGTTACTTATTACTGGGGCAGTGGTTGATTCCTGTCAGAGAGGGGAAAGCGGGTCTGGTTTGAAAATCTCAATAAGAAAGAGAAATTAACCGAGGTCAACTTTATGAAAGAAAAAGGGGAAAACATCTACCAATCTTGAACTTGTGAATAAAAACATTCAATTTTCTTATGTCAATTATATGTATGCCCCCATTTTTTTATTTGCGTGACTGATACTTTATATAAAAATATTTGAATTCTTAAATCCCCCATTCCAACCTTTATTTTTAAAAATATGATTTAAATATTTGCTAATGATAAGTAGAAACTTACTCAAATATTAAAGTTTATCCCAATTTCAAATAATGTTTAATTTGACTTTATCAAATAAAAATATAATTATTTAATTCCTCATGTTTTAGCAATTCTGTCTATTGAGTAATGCATAACATATTAAAAAAAAAAAAAGTTTTATAAAGCCGTATCACACAACCGCAATTTTCAGAGGACAAAAAACTCTGTTAACTTTGGTGAGTTAAAGACCGAGCATTTAAAAAGAATGAAATACGAATTATTTATATGTATTAATTACTTATGAAAACAATTTAATTTTATGCATTTTATTTTATTATTATTTTTATCTATTTATTTATTTTGAGAATACAACTTATTTGATCCGGGTTAATCTTGTCATTTTAAGCATTTTAATGCCTAAATTAAAAAATTGGAAAACAAAACGAACACCTTTTAATCATGTATATACTGATTTCAAATGGTTGAAAACATGTACTGTCGTAACACTTAAGATGTCATTGGTCATTTGCAACATTATTTTGTTAAAAAAACATTCTGAATGTAAACACAAGTACTCTAAAGTTGACATTAAAAAGATGTTGAGTTTCTGATTGACAATATCTATGAAGTTTTGGGAGATCAGGTCTTCCAACAATCTGTCGGAATTCCCATGGGTACTAACTGCGCCCCGTTATTAGCAGACCTTTTTTGTATTCATATAACGCAGAATTTATTCAAAATCTTATACATGGAAAGAAGAAAACACTTGCTGTGGCCTTCAGCACGACATTTAATTATATCGACGACATATTATCAATTAACAATAGTTACTTCCATTCATATGTCGACTCGATATATCCCAGTGAGCTTGAAAAGTTACCACAGAATTTGACAAATCTGTTTCAATTTTGGATATTTTACTAGAAAAAAGACGTTAATGGTAACCCAATAACCAAGCTTTATGAAAACGTGATGACTTCAACTTTTCAATCAACAACCTCCCTTACTTGAGTAGCAATATACCCGTATCACCTGCAGTTGATTCGATACACAAGAGCATGAATAATTTCTAAAACGAGGCAAGCATTTGACAAACACGTTGATGAAATAAGAATTTCAACAGTCTCGTTTAAGTCATCATTTCACAAGTTTTATAGTCGATACAATGACCTTGTTAGAAAATACAATCTATCAGTAAATCAAATGCTGACTGACGTTTCATACTAATTGATAGGCCTTTATTTACACACTGAATTGTCGACGGATTTCAATTTTTTTTCCCCCCGATCATGACAAGGAGCACAGGGCGTGTGTGACCGTTCGGCAGGGGATGCTCACTCCTCTATGGCATCTGATCCACCTCTGATGTTTTAGAGGTCTGTGTTTGCTCTGCTCCTGATTTGTATTGTTTGAATGGACTTTTGAGCTTGAATACTATTCAATATCTCCATGTTTCATGTATCAAAATAGATACCACTACTTATCCTTTTAATTTTGTTTGATTGTGACATGATCTCATAAAGAATATATTTGCAATAGTATTTCTTCTCTTGTAATGTACTAAATAACATGGAAAATAGTTATCCAGCTAAAACTAATTTGAGATACTTCATATTTACTATCCACACCGAATGCAATTTTTTTCTGTGTAATTTGTAAAGTACATGTATTAAAAATATAAGTTATATAGTCCTTAAGTGTTATCTAAATGCAGACTTACGGTTCAATAGAATTATTTAAATACCAGTATGCCTGATATTTGATTTTGTTTTTTTCTCTAGACATTCAGTGACAACCTGAAAACCGATTTATGTTGTTCAGAACGAAATCCAAATAAATCAAATCTTTCTAGCTCCTATTCTTTCTTTTTTGTCGCTTTTCGAAGCTATTCTACCGTCTTCACGCTGTTTGTTTTATGGTTATGTCACAGAAAATAAATGAAAGCTCACAATGTTTGGAAAGTATTCACAATGTTTAGAAATAATTTCACAACT